TGATAAATCCCAGTAAAACAGTTAGTGCTCGCTATTCTCAAGGCAATGTGAGAATGTTTGGATTGAATGCAGGGAAACAATGTGTAGCAATGTCACTTTGTGCATTGATTTATAACAAACACCGCCTTGCAATAACTTCTTCTGTGGACCTAGAAAACATAATGAATGTTGGAAATGAGTTATACTCTGTACTGTCTAGATTATATGACCAAGAGTACCTATTGTTAACGGAGTTGCCTAATACAGTCAATATATTTGAACAAAATTATGAGATGCAATACAGCCCATGCTACACTGGTAACTTACATGATATATCATCAAGCATTGATTTTGAACTTTGTATGCCTTTTGGAAATGCTGTACAAGTTTTAATAGAGCAGAATTATGATATGTTTCTTATGACGGTTCAATGTAACACTGTAGCTTTTTATTACAAAGGTAATGGAGAATTTAAGCTTTTTGATTCTCACGCAAGAGATTTGCTTGGTTTACCACATCCTCAAGGTACTTGTGTGCTTCTTGATATTAATGACTGTACTACACTTATGAACTACTTTCAGAATTTATATGTTGGAGGTGACAGTTCAAAAATCTCATTTGAATTAAGGGGCGTGCATATTTCTGAATTGAGCTTAGATCACAATATCACACTTCCTGAAGAAATGCACAACTGTGAGATAAGGGAAGCTGCTTTACATGATAACAATGAAAACTCCAATTGTAATATTGTAACYGATGACAATATACCATATCTTAAATGCCAGTCTGCTATATTATTTTATTGTATAGCTTTCTCTATTATCAAATCATGTACCTATTGGAAATCAGACACTTTGGATTCTATATTTGATTATGGGCAAAAGATGGCTGCTTCAAGTCAAAAGGATTTTACTTTTAATAGCTTACCACAAAATATTCAAATATATGATGCAAAAGTCGATGTCAGTCTTAATGCTGACAAGCATGGAAAACTGTCTGATCTTAACAAAGAAGAGTTAGAACGGTTAATAATGCAAAACACAAAAAGCAATACTGGATTTCTGTTATGGTTAGCTGACCGTTGCATTGGATGTGTTTTTCATAATAAGGCTAAAACCACTGACTATTTTATTATATTGCTAAACAAAAATGGCAGTTTTGACATGGTTTATAAAGTGAGCAATCCACATGAATTAGCACAAAAATTTTTTCAAATAGTAACAGCAAATGCATCTTATAATAATATGTCTGAAATATCACATCATTACTACATCAAATTCATATTTTGTTCCTCTCAGATTTCAAATAACAGCAGAAAAAATATTTTGAGAAAACATAAATCAGATGCACAAAAACAAGCCATTTCTGAAAATAATAAACTACAATATGCAAATATGGAACCAGCTTTAAAGAGACGGCGCTTGCTAAACAAGCAGATTAACAGACAAGCACAATACAACTCAATGAATGCTACAGATAAGGAAAAGGAGCTTTTAGATAAGCGCATGTATAGCCAACTAAGGTATAACGCATTAAGTATTGGAGAAAAACAAAAGCGGTTATCAGACATGCGCACTTATAGTAATACATGGTATAGCTCAATGGATGCTACTGAAAAACAAAAGCGGGCATCAGACACGCAACAAAATTATTTTAACTGGTATCACTCTATGAATGAGCCACAAAAACAACAATTAGCATCACACAAAAAACAAATATATAATTCCAAAAAAGACAAAGAGTATGACCTAGACCACTATATCACAAACTTTCAGAACAAAATAAGAGAAGGACCATATTTTATATGCACAGTGTGTAACAGACTGCTATACAGCAAAACTGTTGTTTCATTTCATGAGCACAAATATGACATTCAGCCCACTACCAGCCTGTTCACAAGAAAAAAGTCATATGATGACAAACAATACATATGCAAAACCTGTCATTCTAAACTTCTCAGACAACAAGTACCATGTCAAGCTGTGCATAACAGTTTACAAGTAGATGAAATACCCCCAGAACTAGCTGTTTTAGGGAAACTTGAACAGATTCTAATTGCAAAAAGAATAGTATTTGAAAAAATAGTAATAATGCCAAAAGGAAGGCAAAGAAAGATTAAGGGAGCAATATGCAATGTACCAGTTGAATGTGATAAAACCTGCAAAGTTTTGCCGCGTGCTTCTGAAAGATCTGGAATTATCATGTTAAAACTTAAAAGAAAGCTTCAGTTTAGAGGACATGTCTACTATGAGCCTGTAAGGCCTGAATTAATAATATCTGCCCTCCAATGGCTAAAAATGAATAATCCATTGTATGCTGACATAGAAATTGATGTCGACAACAGTTATGGATATACTTCAATGCAAAATATCTCATCTAATGAAAATAATGACCTTTTGAATTTGGATGACAAAAGCGATGATTTCATGAAAAATGGAAAAGATGTACCAGCAAAAGAAAACAAAAACACAACTGACAATGACAATTGTGATGACTTTGATGAAGCAGATGATCCTTTAAATGAGCACCGAACTCCAACGAATGAAACATGCTTACAGTCTGTTATACCTGACTATCATGTTGAGGTAGATGAAAATCGTTCAGTAGCACTAGGGAATGAAATCCATGAAATAGCACCTGGTGAAAATAAGCACCCTGCTTCATTTATGACTGATAAACTATGTGAGGAATTGGCATTCCCTATATTATTTCCCAAAGGTAAATTTGGCTACCATATTGAACGTGATGTTAAACTATCTCCTGTCAAATATTTCAATGCACGACTATTACATTACAGTGGACGTTTTGCGACAAATCCAGAATATCTATTCTTTGCACARTTTGTCATAGAGCAAAAAAAGGTATCTGACAGTATCAACATTGCCCTGAAAAAAGTGCATAGCCAACCAATTTCTGCTTCTCAATTGAGATCTAATGCACAAAGTTTGCAGAACCTGATTTGCCAAGACCAAGCTTACTTATTTCTCAGACAAATTCCAGGAACACCTCCTTATTGGCAGAAATTTATGTATGAAGTGGTTGCTATGGTAAAACAACTTGGAATTCCAACTTGGTTCATGACTTTATCCTGTGCAGACCTCAGATGGCCTGAGTTGTTTCAGATTATAGCCAGAACACAAGGAAAAAACATCTCAAATGAAGAAGTAGATGCCCTCTCTTACAACGAGAAATGTTCAATGTTAAACTTGAATCCTGTAGTTGTTGCTAAGCACTTCCAATACAGAGTTGAAACATTTTTTACAGAAGTTCTACTCTCTAATGCAAACCCAATTGGTAAAATAGTTTACTATGCATTGCGCATTGAATTTCAAATGAGAGGCTCACCTCACTTACATGCTTTGATATGGACCTCAGATTGCCCAAAATTAACTAAAGATAATAAACAGGCATATATTGACTTTATTGATAAGCATGTACAAGCTTACCTACCAGATGAGAATGAAGATCCTCATTTACATGAATTGGTCAAGACCTATCAAAAGCACAGTCATTCAAAAACATGCAGAAAATACAAGAATATTCGTTGCAGATTCAATTTTGGTCAGTTCTTCACCAATAGCACTATTGTAGCTGAACCTCTATCTGATGACATAAATGAAGACATAAAAAGTAGTACTCTTGAAAAAAGAAAAGAAATTCTCACATTGGTGAAAGAAAAGATAGATGATGTACTTAATCCAAGTAAACCAAACTATGACTCATCTACACTGACAGAATCTGATATCTTTAACTCTGTTGGTATCACAAAAGAGCAGTACTACAGTGCTTTATCTATTTCACCAGACTCAGACTATGAATTACATTTAAAAAGACCAATAAATAGCTGTTTTATAAATAATTACTTTAAAGCAGGAATAAAAGGATTTGCTGCTAATGTTGATTTACAGCCAGTTTTTAATCACTACAAGTGTGTAACATATGTGTGTTCATACTTTACTAAAGATGAGACAGAATGCTCTCAAGCAATTATGAATGCTGCAAAGGAGGCAAAAGCTGCAAATATGAATGTGAGAGAAGGATTGAAAAAAATTGGTGCTGCATTTYTGTCTACTAGGGAAGTTAGCTCCCAAGAAGCTGTATACAGATGTATGCCTGAACTTTGGCTAAGAAAAATATTTCCTGCTGCAGTCTTTGTTAGTACTGACTTACCAGACAAAAGGATTAGAATAGCAAAATCCCAACAAGAACTTGAAGAGCTTGAGGATGAAAGTACAGAAGTATATAAGTCAAACATAATAGAACGTTATACTAAAAGGCCTTGCATCATCCCTTCCGTAAATGACCTGTGTCTAGCACAGTTTGTAGCCTATTATTACAAGGACTATAAAAAGGAATGTCAAGAAACAGCTGATGCACAACCAGAGATACTTACTGACAACCTGTTAGAATTACAACACACCACAGAAAATGAAGACTTTTCACTTCCAGACAAAATACGATTAATAGACATGAGATAATGAAACGCAGAAAAGTCAAGGCTGTCATCAGATACCACACACCAAACAAGCAAAAAGAACCTGAGAAATTTTTTCATCATTTTTTCATACAGCGGTATACATTTAACCATGTTCTAGCCTGGTGTAGAAACAAAGTAAAAAATATCAATTGTATTAAACCACACAATGTTGAAGAAATCTATATTTTTCTTACTGGAGGAGGTGGAGCTGGCAAAAGCCACTTGATTAAAACAATATATAATACTGTTACCAAAACATTTAGACATGTTGCTGTTAATCCTGAATTGCCATCAGTTCTCTTAATGGCCCCTACAGGTGTTGCTGCWATMAATATTAATGGCACTACTATTAAYACTGCTCTAGGTATTCCAAAAGAAGCAGGTGCTACYTTAAAACCWCTCTCAGACCAAAACMGRACAYAATTGAGACTCTTCTTATCTGAACTGAGACTCATAATAGTAGATGAGATTTCWATGGTTGGCAATACYACTTTACTCCATATACATCAAAGATTAAAAGAAATATTTCAGACTCCTGCTTCTAAACTATTTGCTGGAATAAGTATAATTGCAGGAGGAGATTTCTATCAACTACCACCAATAAGGAAAAAAMCAGTAYTTGAAAATTATAGCATTGATACATATAATCTGTGTCACCCCTGGCATCTTTTCAGAATGACAGAGCTTRTTGATAATATGCGCTCAAAAGATGASCAACCATTTGTTGAAATGCTTAACCGATTCCGCACTGCATCACAAACAGATGAGGACATTAAGCATATTCAGTCTCGATTAATACATCCAGAAGATGAAAATTACCYGTCAGATGCTATACATATATATGCAGAAAATAAACCTGTTGATGAATATAACAATACCAAACTAACTCAATTACCAGGAACAATGYTTAATCTTAGAGCAGCAGACCAGTATCCTCCAAATGTATCCCAAACAGATATTGACAGAGTATTATCAAAGGCTCGTTCTGATACAGGTGGATTAGATTACAATATACATGTCAAAGAACAGGCAAGAGTAATGTTAACAAGCAATATTGACATTGCAGACAGACTCATTAATGGCCAAATAGGTACCATCATTAAAATACATGTTAACCAAAATACACACAAACCAAGTGTTATTTATATCAAATTTGATGATGAACAAGCTGGAAAAAATAAGATCAGTAAATYTACAAATCAATTTGTTAAAGATAACAATGTTGTACCAATTGAACCAATTTCAGCTAAAATCAAATTAAGACCTGGCAAACCATCTTCTCCTGAAATTGAGAGAGTCCAATTTCCTATTACATTAGCCTATGCAGTTACTATACATAAAATCCAGGGACTCAGTTTAGATAAGGTTGTAATTAGTTTTGAATTATTCAGACAGAGATCATTTAACTATGGACAAATATATGTAGCCTTAAGTCGGTCRCGATCCTTAAATGGTCTATACRCTTTAGGTGAGATAGAAGCTAGACATGTCAGAGCAGATCCAAGGGTACATAATGAATATCAAAGGYTACRCGAGACATCACCCCTTGAGCCACCAAAAATTTGTCAAGAAAACATTTCAATGAGCATGAGTATTTGCCTCCTAAATGTCAGGTCCTTGCAAAAACACAGTATTGATGTACAACATGATTCAAATCTATTTGATTCTGACATARTTTGTTTCACAGAAACACAATTATTGCCTAGCACCAATGATAATGATATAAAAAACAACCTACATCCCTTCAAACTGCTCAGGCAAGATCATCCTTCAGATAGGTATTCCAGTTTAGCACTATGTTCAAAATCCCAGATTGAAATCATACAATATCACTAYTTTCCTGAAGTAAATGCAATAGCATTCTCTGTTGTTCATAGCATGATGTCACAGTTAAATATTAATGTACTTTTACTTTATTGCAAGAATGGTCRCAATATTCCTCAATATATGCAAAWTCTAGAAAATATACTTAACACCCACAAAATTGATATTGTTTTTGGAGACTTTAATATTAACTATTTTAATGATAATRAGGTCMGGGCACTATATACAATAATGGAWCAGCTAAATTACACACAAACAGTTCAAAATCCTACATTCATATCAGGAAGCCTATTAGACCATGTTTATATAAAAAAAGAAATGTGCAACTTAATAAGTGACATTTTCACATCTGTAGTACCAATATATTACTCTGATCATGAAGCAATAAAAATATTGTTAATTTTCAAATAAATAATATAACTTCTAAATATAAAATATTATAAATCTACATTTTTATGCACACTTAGTTGCAAGCTGAATGAATACTTAAAAAWTCTATACCCTGCAGCCTCTCCCACATTAACTGGGAGACATCGAGAGACACCAAAAAGGTGTCTGCTACATGTATTTGACAATCTTCAACATCTGGGGGTCTCTATCAACATTTAAGGTAATTACAGTGTTGTGAAATTGCATTATTAAACTCAAGAGTGTAAATGTTATAATGAGCATACTTAATGAGTAAACTAGATATTATGTASTGATTATGAAAAAATGATTTTCACAGAATATTCAAGTATCACTATACTGTCTTCTAATAACAAGTGAAGGAATGGATAACTTCATTGAAACAATAAATACAATACTACATGAAAATAAGTCATCGACTTCAATGGAAAAGAATCAAGAACATTCATTACATGTATTACACTTCACAGAAAAGTCAGGTGCAGAAAAGTAATAGTTGTTCAGACACTTAAAGCTTACTAAAAAAGCAACAGAGGCTTTGGCTAATGATTTACATAGACCCATTCCGTTGCAATACAAAAAATCAAGATCTCATATCAGCTTATATTGCCAACTACTCAAAACAAATTCAAGCTGCAAGATATTAATTATCTGTTGGAAAATATCTGGTCCACAATAGAATAAGCTTTATTATGACAGTAACACTATGTAACTGCAAAGATATTCAAAACATCTACATTGTCGCTGTACATTACATCSACTGATAATCATAATGCAGATAATTCAATGGAGTATGCTCTGTTCTACTGAAAACCTATAAATCATATGCATGCAGACTAGCTATATTTACTTCCCTGGATTTACTTTTTACCAGGACTGCCACTGCGTAACCTATTTAAACAAAAATCATTCAGCCATTGAGAACTTAAAGTGTTGCTTTTCAACTAACAATACACACAAACAAGAATATTCAAGAAAGAAAAAAATCAAGATCAATACCATAATCATAGCATAAATAATTATGTGACAGCGATTKTTACCTATTGGATCTTGTTTGCATCCACCATACTACTTCTTAAAACAACAAACCAAATGAATGAKTCACGTGACTGGAACAGTCATCTAGATTCAACAAGCCAGCAAAGTATCATGGGAAGCGGATCAAAAAGTGCGATTTATGATTGGTCAAAAAAAAAATTGATGTCATTTGATTGGTTGATTTTGATCCTCCGTTGTCGTATATAAACTGATTACACACGGTGAGACATTTCACGAAGCGTCCAGAACGGTCAAACTACTAGAGAAGGAACGTCTGGAAACTATGTCGGAAGAGCGTGGATATGTACATAACTTATCTCCAACAAAGCAAAGCAGAAGGAAAAACGGGCCGAAGTACTTTAACTTCGACCTTCAGACAGATGCATCAACCTATACTAGAGCTGTCTGCTTTGAGCCATCATTGAGGCAAACTCTGGGAAACTTTCAATCCTCTGGCACGCCCATA